CGGTCGACAGATTCTTAATTGGATAACTGTTGTTGCCTAACATTTTTGTTGGGGGATGAGATTTGGTGCCATTAAATTCATCGCAATTCTCAACCACATAGAATGATCATCAACTATATATGGCTAAAATGATAAGGGTATAAGAGAAGCTGTTGGGTTGTTCAAGGAATATAAGGCAAATCAAACCAAGTCATACATACAAACATATTCATATATATCTATGAACTTAGGTATGAACTCATTAAATGATCTTAGTATAAAAAGGAGTGTTGTTCTTTCTTGAGTTTTCAAGTTCAACTACGTGCGTTTGTAGGGTATATGTACATACAACCTTATATTCACCCTATCTTAATAAAAAAAATATGTATTTGGGTGTCTAAATATATTCATATGATGAATCTAAGACTTTTTCATAACATTTAGAATATAACATTTAATAGATCTTATTCAAGATTCCGTATTTAAAATATAACATTTCGTAAATTTTTCAAGTTTTAACATTTATAACATATATGTATTTAGGCATAAAAGGTTTGCGTACTTTCAAGGTTTAAGTATGTAAACAACTGATTAGGAATGAAAGTGACAAATTACAAAAGGCCTATTTTGCTTTCTATAATAGGGCTAAGTTTATTGTATTTTTGCCTAGGAATATAAACAATATAATTCAATATGTATAAAAGATACATCTTGACATAAAGCTGCCTGTTTATATTTATAATCTTATCAAATCCATCAACAAGGAAAACTTCTCAATCATGCAAAGAAAAATAAATGAAATAATTGAGTAATATGTGAAGTATGGCAGATCTAGTCCATTTCGAAAGCATTTATTTTCAAAATTTAGATATTTATACATTACTTTAATATGTCCAAATTAAGATATCTTATATAATTTATCATAATTATTTAGTTTAAAATTTAGAATCATCATTTGATTTAAAATAAATTTTTATAAATATAAATATTCTACTCAAACCATATATAATAATTAAATTAAACATATAAATATATAAATCCCCGGCATAACGCATGCATACTTCTAGTATAAATTAGCTCTGAATGTGGCATGTTGTTTGATAATGGCTCTGAATCATTCAGAATGTACTTCTATGTTGAATCATTCAGCACTGTTTTGCTGAATCAGTCAGTACTGAATCATTCAGAGGTGCGAAACAAACGCGCTGAATGCTTAACGGTTCAGCATTCAACGCTGAATGGTTACATTAAGAGGCAAACAAACAACCCCTAAATATTGTATAGAGTGATAAAGATACATTATATTCTAAAAGAAAATTTAAATTCGAATTTTAAAAATAATATTATTAAAAAAAGTAATCATAAACTTTCAATATAAAACATAAAATGAATTACATATACTAAAATCCAACTCGGGTGCAGCAATCAAATATGCAGTACGTTGGTATAAATAATCTATTCCATACATGCATGAAAGATATGAAAAATGACTAAAACTCAATCCATGGTCCCCGCAAGTAATTTTTTTTCAGGTTTTTCAATTTTGTCGAGGTTATGTTGAAAAATGAAATACATAGAGGCAACGTGAAACCCATGCAACACTCAATGCTTTTATCCGATACATGTCTTCCTTTAGTCCATTGAAGTTTCACTTTCAATCTGGGAATTGAAATCATTATTGTTGTTAAACGTTCAAACTCTTTAAACACTTTTTACAAATCTCTAATTTCTTTCTGTTTTGGTTAATTTTCCTTTGAAAGAAAAACTTTGAAACGGAATTTCGACTTTGTAAAAGCATAGAACAAAGTGAGATAGCTTTCACACAGTTTAGACCAACACTGACACAACCTTTAGCAGATCAATTATTGAAATTAAATTCAAACATTGAAAAGTATTGCACGAGGTTGATTTGGATTTAGATTCATGAAATTTAGTAAATTTAAAGGACAAGTAGGACCAAACCTCATGATTTTCGTATGACAACCTTACATTTTACTACACGTGTATTCATCCACATGAAACCATCAAAGTGGAAAGTATTTTTTTAACACTTATTTAGAGATCTAAAAATTAAAAAAATGAGAATTCAAAATTTTAATACTTCATTCGTTAAAAAAAAGTTTCCAAACCCCCACCAAATATTGAAGCATTGGTTATGAGAGAGAAAAACATTACCGCATAATTTATATTTTTGTCCATCGTTAAAAAATGAATTTAACTAAATTTAATATTTTTCTTAAAATAATGGGTATTCAATTGCTCTCTTGGGGGTCACATATCTGCTCCTCCTGATAGAAAGGTATTACATTTTCAAGACAAATATCAAAATTCAAATTCACACAAAGTAGAACAACATGAACATCCTTAATCACTCGACTAGTTAATAAATCTTTGCTTATACATTAATTTTTATATTAATGCATTGAATTTATGAAAAAGTAATATCTTGTAAAATTTTATCACTAATTATTATTAATATATTAGATTAATAACTATTACATACATCCATTAAGCATAGATTTGATCCTTAGAAGTATGAGTTTTAACTCTTTATTTAAAAATATTCTTAACTATAGGTTGGTGGTCTAGTAGGGCGATACATTAAATTCGTAAAGTTAGAGGTCTGAATCTTAATGTTGTGATTTAAAAAAAATAGATTGGAAGGATGGATCGCCACTAAAATGAGCCTTTACAATATAATCTTGTCACATCAGCATCGTGAAGCATAACATAAGAATCATAACAATCAACACCAATCAGAGGGAGAAATTAATCTAATTAAATGAATTTGATGACACAACTAATTCGACTAAAAAATAGAGGTAAAAATATTGATTTGTGTTTACTTTAAAGATAAAATGATCTCTTAATTTTTTTTGTTGAAAAGAGGGATTAATATGATTCAATTCAAACTGCACATATAAAGAATCAATAGGATCTCGTTATAAAATTTCTCTAACCTTATTTGGAGGAAAAAGAATACCCTTATCGATGTCAATGCACCAGTCAATTCTTCCACTAACAAAACCTAATACAAAGCAACCAACCATCCCATAGACCAAGCCAAGAAGAACATAAAAAAGACTACACTTCCCAACCTAACCAGCAACGCATCATGCTTCATGAAAAAACATAGCACACACCACTCTACTGGACAAATCAACGAAATCAAGACAGAAAACCTGATGGCATATCAGCACTACAACTGTATAACTTAATAACGATAATACCATGCAATCATCTATAAACTAAGAGATAGATCGGCACATGGCTTCAGTTTCTTCTCTGCAAAGTCTTTCGCATGCCCCATCGAGAAACCGACTGATATCATTGGCACAGATACAACAATAACAGACACCGCCTGAACAGAACTAGCACAGCAAAAGCAAGGCAACTAACAACCTCAGACACTTGATAGCACAAACACTAAACATGGAAACATTAAAGAAACAGACCCTCAAGAACCTGTTGTTTCGAACCGATCAAAAACATCAAAGAATTCGGCCCCAGTCCATATCCGCTAACCACACCAGTGGAGAAGCTCTTCTGATCCCGTCTTCGGATGTTAAAATTGATTTATTCAGATTGAATTTAAGTAAAATAAAATAAAATAAAATTGATTTTTCTCCATATTGAATTGAATTTAATAATTATAATTTGAAATCTATAAACCAAAATTGAATAAAATTACATATATTTAAACAGTAACTAAATTTAAATCAAACAAAATTTGATAACATTGAATTAAAACCTAACAAAATATTGGGTTGAAATTGATTTTCAATCCTACATATAATTCTAGTAAAGAACGCTGTAGGTAGAATATGGAAAGTGGTAGTTATATTTTCATGAAATTCTCGTGAGTGGGGAAGACTTTTGTCATGCGTTCAAATTCCAAACTCTAAAGCAAAAAATCAAATCAGATGAAAATATTTTGAATCTTTAAAAATATTGATCAAATTAAACTAAATAACATATTACAAAAATATTTTGATATAATACTTAAATTATTCATACTTCCTTTAAATCGAACTAAGACTCTTTAATGTACGGCCAAATTCTAAATCCTAAACCTTAATATTTTTTTAATAAGAATGCTAAAAGTGTGAAAAAGTAGGGAACAAAATAGAGTGAAAGAATGTAGAAATGGGAAACAGCTGTCGGCCATAAAACAAGGGGTACGGTCGTATACTTCACAGATTGACTCTTCGACACTACTGCATGTCTTATTTCAGTTTCATCTACTCTACACATTAAAAAAAATACTCTACACATTAAAGATAATTAAAAAAAATATTATTTAATATATCATCAATCTATAAATTTTTTAACATTATAATAAATGTATTTATTTTAAAATTTTAAAAATAACGTAACGTATGTTATCATTTTAAAATCATTTGTATAATTATATTTTTCATTAATAATATATTAAATAATAATTTTAAAAATACTATAATTATGTCTGAAACATTTTTATATTAGAAAATTATAAAACAGTTTCATGCCAATATATTCTATTAGTTATTTTTTATTGAATTCGTATAATTAATTAATTTTTATTGCCATGGTATAAAATAATTTCATCAATTATATTAATAACATATTAACTTCAGTTTTAGTTTTAATCATTCACAATTGTTTTTTGCGGTTGTTATTTCTATTAATAACATTTTATTTTTAAAAAGAAATATTGTTACATTAACAATTATATTAATAATTTATGAAAATATGATTAAATTTAAGCATATATTTAATTGAAAAAAATCAAAATTTATTTACCATAATACACCTTAATTAAAATCCATATATCGTTTTTAGTATTTATCCAATTATTTTAATGCTTTGGTCATGTATTATATTTTTTTTAAGAATACAAATAGGGTTTAAAGAAAAAGAGGGGTCCACAAACAGTGATGAGAGTTGTAACTGCCGTGTTAAGGTTGTGCATGCGACTTAAACGGCTCTCTGCTATTTATACACACTTTCCCACTCTTCTTTTTCTTCATTACAAATTTTATTCTTTATTAAAACAATGAAGGGAAACAGTGTTGGGTTCTTAAGCATTTTGATCTTAGCTTTTCTTCTTCTTTCAGCATCTTCTCGTTTGCTGCTGCAAATCAACCATGGTTAGTGTTTCTTTTCCAAATTTATATATCTTCTCTTTGGTTTCTGGTAACGATGTGTTGAACTGTAAGCAAACAGGTGAAAAGGAGTTCCACACAAGTGGGATGAGCACCCAATCTGATCCAAAGGAAGATCTCTCAGATGTAAGAGTTTTTCTTTTCTTTTCTTTTTTCCTTCCTGGGTTTAAAAATGTATATTATTGATATTATTAAATGGGATAATATTTGTTTTTGCTGTGGGGGGAGAAGCTGATTGGAGCAGAAGAGTGCGAGGAGAAAGATGAAGAATGTGTGGAAAGAAGGGTGATTCAAGAAGCTCATTTGGATTACATATACACTCAAAATCATAAGCCTTAGAATAATATACAGAGAGATGGATAAATAAAGTATGTTTATCAACAGAAATGTGTAGTTGTGGATGTTATCAACATGTTATAATATTTGGAGTTTGGTTGTAATTTTGTTTTTTGTAATCATGTCGAAAATTCTACGGTATCTGTAATATATTATATGTTTAAAAGATTCATAATCATTTGACAATAAACACTTAAATACTTTAGCAAACATCATACTCAAACTCGAAACTTCTAAGAATAACAATCATTCATTTAATCATATAAGTTGTTTTATTCGTACATGTTGGGTGATAATTAAACAAAGGTGTAGACATCTGTTTTTGACCGGACTTTAAAAATTATTATAAATATTATTATTATTATTACTATTATTATTAATTAAACAATTTTACATTTGTGCAGGCTACCCAAGTGCAGAAGCCCAATCGAGACCCAATACAACCCAAGACCCAGTTGGAGTCTAGAAGCACAACACTCAGCAAACCAAGCAGCAGACCAAGACTCTGATCCAGATCTGATCCGGGTCCATACTCGACCCGCTTCATACGGACCGACCCGTTTACAAGACCAGATCCAGACCCAATTCTTGGCAACCCGAACCGGCACAATAGTAATTAGGGTTTCAAAACCCTAAATCAAACTGCCGCTAGTCCCCTCACACGCCAATCATCCTAGCCGCCGCAACAGTGAACTCTGACCAGCACGCTCCAGTCGAATGCCACGACGACCAAACCACCACCGAGTCATCGCCGAGTCACCAGCCACCGATGGTCATGGTCGTCATCGCCTACATCGACAACCACAAAACCATAGCACTAAATCAACACCAAAATCCACTAAACATTTTTAAACAAAATCAAATCTAGTGGAGAAACCATTACAAATAAACACCTGAAATGCCGCTAAAATCCTACTAAAATGCCACTCAAACACCATTATTCGGGAACTAGTGGAAGAGCCAATACTAAGCAACCAAAAATATGTTATAAATGGGGGGTGATTCGGAAAACAAGGAGTGGAAGGATTACATTTTCAGGGGGTTCTCAGTTTTCAACAGGGGATTTGTTGAGTTAATCGATCGATGGAATTGGCTAAGAGGGGGTGAATTAGCAATTAAAATTTTGGTGGAAGTTTTTACAGAAAATTGAAAAGATTTGCACAACGATTTAGAGTGGTTCGACTTTCTCAACCAAAGTCTACGTCCACTACCTTAGATATCCACACTAAGGATTTTCCAACAAATTCACTAATTTGTTCTTTCTTTTGAGGCCAAAGAGATAACCTTACAACTCCCTCAAGAATAACCTTACAACTCTCTCAAGAATATACCCCAATTCTTGAGAACACTCTTTCTCAAAGAGAAGAATACAAATTTGCAAACTTACAAGAAAATCCTCAAAAGGTAGATTGTTTGCACAATTCTATAACAAAGAAAAGAACATTAAAAAATGAATACAATTGAGTACAAGTAGTGTTCTTGAAAGCAAAATGAATATTGAATGAAAAATAGGCTTGAAATGCTCAAACTTAGGTTTGATGCTTTCTCTTTGATTCTCTTTTGATTCTTGTTTCTTGTGTTTACTTGTTTTTGATCAATGGCTTCTAAGCTTGTTTAAATACTCATTCAATTGATTCTGAACGTTGGGGATGATTAGTGGAGTCAATGAAGCTGTTTTAGTGTGAAATCAATTAATAAAACAGCTTGGAGCGTGGGGGGAATCGATACCCCCTCATAGGGAATCGATTCCCTAAGTGTAAAATTCAAATATTTCGACCGTTGATCAGGGGAATCGGTTCCCTCTGAGCATTATGTTTTTCTCGGAGCCAAATCATTCAGGGGGAATCGATACCCCCTTGGGGGGAATCGGTTCCCTCTGGACAATCTGGATTTTTTGGCTTGAAACGGTTCGAAATACTTTGTAAAATTGTTTTGAAATTATTTTAAGATTAAAACTTAATTTTACACTTGAGTAAGGATTAAAAATGACATTTGAAAGATTTGGAGTAATATTTTGATATTCGAATAATTATATCAAATATACTCGGAAAATCTTTTGGAAAATCTTAAAATTCATTTAACTTAATTTGTTATATCGAAATATCAAAATGTTTTCAACAATCTCCCCCTTTTTAATATAACAAAACATTTTAGTAATTTTAAGATTTTGAAATCAAGTTTTGAAATTACTCTTCCTTACTCTAACACTTCTCCCCTTTAAAAGCACTTTAACATTTCTCCCCCTTTTTGTCAAATCAAAAAGACCTTTAAAAGATTTTAAACAAGGTTTTGAAATCATTTAGCCAATTGATTATAAATATATATAGCTTAAGATGCTAAGATCACAATCAAGAGAAACGTTAGCCATTAGTTTCATAATCAATATTCATAAACAATGTGATATAGCGAAATTGGTTATATATCTAACATGATGTAAATGATGCAAGAATGAATAAATTTAACCAAACCAAATATATATAGAATCAATATAAGTTCAAACATCCATAATCCATCAAACAAATTCAAACATCCAACAATCAAAGTTAAAAACAATCCAAAGTTATTCAAAATGTTGAAACATTAAACTCCATGTTATATTTCAAAGTACTAAAGCAAGACAAAGAATCAAGCATCCGCAGGAGGATCGGGAGGAGGAAAATGAGCTCGTATAGCGGCCATCTCAAGTGAAAGTGCATCAATGCGTTCATTCATAGAAGCGTTGTTTGTGCGCATCTCCCGGAGAATCTCCAATTGTTGAGCTCCCATTGTGGATAAATGAGACTCTATGGAAGTGAAGCGAGAATCCATGGATGCATACTGGAAATCAAATGTCTCCATAAAGGATTGAAAGTATGGGGGCATTTGATCCTCTGGTCGTGCTTGTTCCTCTGGTGGAACTTGTTTCTCGTGTTGTTCTTGCTCATCGTTGGAGTCGTCGGCTTCCGGAGGTTATTCATGAGAACGAACCCAAAGACCACTCTCTTCATTGAACTTCCATCCCGATTTAGTTAAAGAAAATAGGTTGATTTGAATTTTAAGGGGAAAGGAAGCATCAAGACCAACTCTAAGCCCAACCTTCTTAAACAGATTACTAAGAATATAAACATAAACTAAAGAAGAACATAATTTCTTATTGGGAACAAGATTTACGGTTTCGACAAGTTCAGAAAAGATAATCCGTGGAAGGTTGATTTTAAGATTATTTTAGACACAATGTAGCCAAAATAAATCCATGGCTCGGAGAGTAGAGTAACGACCTCCGGATGGTCGAAACTACCAAGAGATCATGAGATGAAGAAAACGGTCGTGAAGATCTAACATACTCGCACTATCCCTTCGTTTATACTGAGATCCTACCGTCATCTTTTCATTGTCTAACTCATCATGATCTAATCCTAATGCTTTGGCTATGTATTCGGGTCAATAAGATAGGATCAAATTCATGTGGTAAAGGTTTTCTCCAGGTTTTGAATGCAAACGACATTAGAGTAGAAGATAAGAATGAGTTGATGGTAGACTATTGGTTCAAGCTCAAAAAGTTTGTCAAATTTCCACTCTTGAAGAGTAGAAAGATGTCGAAAATTGATGTCTAGCATGGCTTGAAGAGATGGGATGCGTTCTTCCCGGATTTTGTAGGACTCAAAGTATTAACAAAACCTAAAATAGAGATTTTGTCTACGACCAGTTTCATTGAAGCAATAATTGCGAATGGTCATGTTTGGATCATCGGGATTAGGAATAAGAATTTGTTGATATGTGGAATATTTGGAGGTGAGTTTGGAGGTTGGCTAGAACGACTAGAAGAAGGTCTAGAACGTTTGTGAGACATGATTTAAGGTAAATATCTCAAGGTTCTCTAAACAAATCCTAATGGGCAAAGTTTTTGAAAACTAATAAAATTTTGAAAATCAATATACGTATAGTTTTCATACTAACAACATAATTAAATAAAACACAATAGTTTGAAATTAATTAAAAATTTTCGTTTTTTTTAATTTAAAAAATTCAAGAATTAATTGAAAAATTATGAGATTTTGATGAAATTAGTTGTAAAATATAGTTTCTAATCACTAAACAATCAATGCCCGATCACTATTTCAATCTAGAACTAATTAAAACTATTTCTATGTTCAAAAATGGATAAAATAGAAGTTTTAGAAAAATACCTTGAAGAATTTCGGATTTGAGTGAGATTGAATAAAGTTTGCACAATTTTGATGATTCCAACAGGTTTAGGAGTTGATATGTGAAGTAATTTCGATTAAAATGGTGTTTTTGATTAAATATGGAGATAGGGAGAGAGTAGAAAGGAGAACGGCAGCAAAGAGAAAGAAGAGAGGTTTTGAGAGAGAAAGGGTTTTCTGGGCGTGATATAACCAGAACCATCAGGAGGAATCGATTCCCCTTCAAGGAGGGTATCGATTCACTCTGCACTAAAATTGCTAAAATTTGATTTTAAACACTCAAAATGCTAAATTAATTTGCTCTAGTGGTATTGACAACTCATATTATGAAAAATTAACTATGTTCAATCAATAAAATCTATCATTTAAAAATTATTTGAACATATAATCAATTTTTCACAAAGAATCATAAACTCCCCCTAACTAATAGCAAAGAATGCAATCAAACTTAATTATAAGCATTTTTCATTTATTTTTAAAAGTGCTAAAATTATTTTAAACACTAAGTGAAGATAGGTCAGTTAAACCTAATTCTCTCCTAAGTGTCCAAAATCTTTCCTTGTCTAAAGGCTTTGTAAAGATATCCACTAATTGATGCAAAGTATCAACAAATTCTAGAATTATATCTTCCTTAGCGACATGATCTCTAATGAAGTGATGCCTTATTTCAATGTGCTTAGTTCTAGAGTGTTGGATGGGATTTTTAGTGAGACAAATAACGCTAGTATTGTCACACTTGATAGGAATGGTACCTACTTCAATTCCATAATCAAAAAGTTGTTGTTTCATCTATAAAACTTGTGCACAACAACTACCAGCTGAAATGTATTCTGCTTCAGTGGTAGATAATGGAACACAATTTTGTTTCTTTGAAAACCAAGAAATCAGCATATTTCCAAGGAATTGGCAAGTACTAGAGGTGTTTTTCCT